TTGGATGTTGGTTGGAGATCCAGATGTGATCAAGTATCGAAATCCATATGTTCAAAATTATTTTGTTGCAAAAGTTGGTACTATAATATTTAACAAAGATATTGAAAACTTAAATATTGAATTACCTCAACCACTTAAAAATGTGAAAAATGCAAGGTTCGCCTGTACATTTCATTATTCATCAGATGATGGTCCATCATTTTCAACTTGCATAAAATCTGTTGACCAAAAAGGAATCCAACTACATATAAAAGACTATAATAAAACCCAAACACATTTAACATCAACTTTTGATGAATATAAAATGCACTGGTGCATTTATTTTATTCCGATTCAAAAAATCACCATTGGACAATTAATACCGGTGAAACAATCTTTAGATAAAATTCCAAGATTTTTAAGAACGAAATCTTCAAAACAAGTGCCTGGCCTAAGAACAAAGTATAAAATTCTTTTATTAAATTTGAAATATTAATTAAAAATACATTCTAATTTTAACAATATTTATTTTTTGTACCAGTGTCTATGAAGCTATTAGTGCATTCAGAGTTATACTTCCCTGGTTTGATGCATTAAATATAATGCTTGGAAAAATTTCGAAAGCATATGAAGATGCCGAATATAATCGAAAGACCTGTCGTATCTTAACTGATCGTGCTGATGATGTTTTGACAGCAGTTAAAATATTATTTCGGAGAAGAGATGAAGAAGTGGATAAATTTCTTGATGATTATTATGTCAAATCATTTATTAAACTTCATAGGGTTTTAAGAGATATAAAAGAATTTATCAGTAATGTATCTCAACTTAAAGGCCTTTCTAAATTTGTATCTGCTGAAGATATAAGAAAAAGATGTATAGTTCTTATTAATGAATTGGAATCATCTTGTGTTGATCTAAATTTAAACACCACTATATCAGCAGAGGATAAACGACTTGTACAAAAAAGTCTAATGGAAGACGTAGATGCAATGAATGAGGTGTGAATTTATTTAATTTTCATAATACAGTATTTATTATTATTTATATACTTAATAGATATTTCATTTTTAGTTTCTTGAAACGGTTAAAGGTGGTGTTGTACAGGACGATATACAAGCTATACGTTATAAAAAGGAGGTGGTGATACCTAAAACATATAAAATGCCCAGTAAAGTTTTTGATGAAGTTTCAGAAATAAAAAAGAAAATGGAAAGAAAAGAAATTACATTAAATGTGCCTCAGATAAATCCAAATTCGTTGCAAGAAGTTAAAGGATGGAAACAAAATGGTGAATGCAGAGTATTCAAACGTTTATTAAATGGGAAGACAGAAGTTGCTTGCAAACGTATCAACATTCCAAATTCCGAATTACAAATGTTTAATATACGATTTTCTATTTTAAATCGATTAGAAGTATCCGATAAAATTATTAAATTTCATGGACTTGCTAAATATAGTGATCATTACCTTGTTGTATTCGATTGGGCAGAATGTGGTAGTTTAAAAGAAGTCTATGAAAGAAAAAATTTAAAAAATGATAAATTTTTATGGGAAGATAAGGTCAAAATTGCTCTTGATATTTGTAATGGTCTTATCTTTTTACAAGGATGTAATATTTTTCATCATGATATCCGCTGTGAAAATATTTTGGTAAGTTGTTCAAAAATTTACACACATATATACATATATAACAGTATTGATCTGAATGTTTTAATTTATTTAGATTTCTGGTAGTGATAAGAATTATAATGCAAAACTTGCCAAGTTCGATCTTAGCCGACATGCAAAACATATTAGCACAAAAATGAAAAGTATTGATGAAATAATTCGTTGGTTGGCACCTGAAAAGATACCTTCTGATACGAGTCCTAAAAATGAAAGTTATACATTTAAATGTGAAGTGTTTAGGTAAGTAAAAGTTATTTATTGTTTTATTATTTGTTTACTTATTATAGCATAATAAAATAAGCAATCTTTTTAAATAGCTATGGTATGTTTCTATGGGAACTCGCTTTTCAAGAAGTGCCGTACAAAAAAGTGGACGTTAAAAATATATGTGACTATGTAAAGTCTGGCAAAAGGGAGCATCTTAACTTTGATAATAATTGCCCCAGATGTATTGTTACAGGATTTTCGAGAATTATTCAGACAGGTAAGTAATAGGGTTTTAACAACAAAAATTTATTATTTAATTTTTTTTGCAACTCGGTATATTAACATCACTTTAACTAGCATGGGCACACGAACCGTCCGAGCGACCATGCATCAATGCTTTTAATACCGAACTCAATAAATTAAGTCTATTACTTAAAAATGATGATACGGATCTTGATGACGAATCACATCTGACTATAAATAATGCTATATTGCCACTTATTCCGTCTCTGGAGGATGGCATAGAAGCGCATTACAAGAAAAATGTAGATGTAGCTTGGGAGTGTTTTAGCATTCATGCTGATCTTGGAGATCATACAGCAAAATATTGGAAAGGTTTATATTTAAAGGAAGGTTATTATAAGGGTATAAAAAATTTAGCAGAAGCCATAAAGCTTTTTAAGGAAGCTGCTGAAGAAAATGTTCCTGAAGCACAACTTCATTATGCATTGGAGATAATTAATATTGATGAACAAGAGTATATAAAATATTTAAAAAAATCTGCTGTTAATGGTAATCCTACAGCATTATTCTATTACGGTATTTTATCCTTGGACGGAAAATATGTAGAGAAGGATGAGAAAATAGGAATGCAGTGTTTATTATTGGCTATTGCAAAAGGTCAAAAACAAGCAATAGTCGAACTTAAAAATCGTAATATTGATGTTTGGTAAGTTTATATATCATTGCTTTTATGTTAACAATACTTTTCAATTTTATTAATATATTTTTTTTTTCAATTCGTATAGCAAACCATCAAATTTATTAAAATATTAATTAATTGTATTTATTGCGTTTACTAATTAAAAAAAATTAATCATTTATTCGTAGAATAGTATGCAATTTTTTAATAATATTCAAACAAAGCATTTAAGCTATTTAAGTCTTCAAAAAAAGTTTTGTGTACATTTAAAATATTGTACGTAGGGATTTTATCCTGTTTAAATGCTCAAATCTGCTTAATGAGATTTGCTTATTATACTATGATTACTATTCTACATGCGACTAATTAAACTCATTCGCAACGTTTTAAGAACATTCCTCATTAATGGTAGTCAGTAATTTATCTCAATATGAAGTAGATATTATCATTATAATGCTTAGAAACCTATTTATAAAACCGGTTTGCTTAAAACTGCTTGAAGCAATTATTCGTTTCGAGTATGATTTTTTAATTTTTTTGTCACTAGTCAAACTTGTTACTAATATCCTTTCGAATAAGTTGCTTAGTACAAGAAATTAATCTAGTCTATGTTTAACAAACTATTTGAAAAACTATTTTATATTACACGAAGCAGGATAAAATCCCTAATTGTACGCTAAAAACATCAACACTCAATAAAAATGTTAAAATTTGGTTGTTTGATTGTTATATATTTCGGGTAGTCATATATTTAATAACGATTTATACCCGGTCTAATATCTAGTTTGACTTTTACGATGAAATCAATATAGACTACTCTGCATTGAACTATGATTGACTCAATTACAGTCAACCTAGAGGTTTAAATTTTAAAAGTGCTATATATGTTAAAAATTTATGTGATTATAAGCAAATGTAACTATGACTATATAGAGGTCTAACTGTATATAAATTATTTTGAAAATATTAAAATCAATAACATTTATCATCATTTATTAAAGAATTAGTTGAGAGCACCATATTCTTATCACTTTATTCTTGTTATAACAGTTAAATTGTCTATAATAATTTAAAATTTTTAGAAGAATCACTTTCTATAGTATTAACGAAATCCTATTAGCGGGTACAAAGTATAAGTTTTTTAAAATATAATTAAAATTTAGTATTTAATTTTAACAATTTGAAATTTATTTTTTTTAAATTGACAGAACTTATTTACCAAAATGCACCTATGGTGTTATATATATCATCTCAAAAACTGTCTGTGTGTAATGTTTTAAGTGAAACGTTCTATCCTACAAAATATTTACCTCCAACCATAAGTAAACACCAACATAAAAAAATTTAAGTTAAAATCTTAAATGCAAAAACGTCAATAGCATAAATAGCCACTAGATAGATTGGCTGGTGCAAAACCTACGTTTTGATACTCCTGCACTTGCTTTTTTGATATATATAAACATACCTAAAATTTTTATTAACTTTAATTATACTGACTATTGGCCTGTTTTAGAGTATACCAACAAAATCGCAGGAGTATCAAAAACGCAAAATTTGCACCAGAGTGTAGGATAGATTTTCCGATCACATGATTATTAGCCAATGGCGAATCACAATTAAGTGTAACGTAACCGATCAAGTGTACATGTAATTAGAAATTCAACTAGAAATCGCTTTAATTCAAATTTTTCCTTAAACAATTGACTATAAGATTTGCTAGACACGAATCCGAATCTTAACACTAACATAACTTAAACGAAGCTTTAAGTGATTTTGTTGAGTAATCGAACTGGATTTATAAGTACATAATATATAATAATATATATATATCAAGACCCGAAATTTAAACGCATGAACGCGTAAAGATAAATGCCTGCCACGTCGCATAACCAATCGCTAAACTTTTTACAAGTTTGTCAAAATAACAATTTGATTGGTTTATAGCTGTTTTCAAAGAGGCGTGAACAGACGTAAATAACTATATCATGAAATTACCCAGATTTCCAAAACTTTCAAAGCCAGCCCTAATCTGATCTTCAATTTTTACTAATGATAATTTTCCAATTCTTCGATTCCCCACATATGAAAACAGCTGTAAAAGGGTAGATGATGATTGTCACATACTTATGTAGAAACTCGAAAAATCCGAAATTTTAACTAATAAAAGTTGGATTATTGCGGTTTGCAAAAAGGCGCGACTTGTGCAGATCATCTTGTCATGTAAAATCACAGGAAATTAGGCGATTTTTCGATAAGAGAATTATACAGATTTTCAAATAAATATGATTGATAGACAATCTAGAATCTCCAAAATACCACACTATCGTTATCACGAAAATCATGAGACCACACCTTTTTGCAAACCGCAATAGAGCATGCTTTGAAGTTTCTGGAAATCTGAGAATTTCTTGAAATATGATCTGCATTTGTTCATCTTTTTTAAAAACGATTTTTCCATATAAATAAAAAAAAAAAGAGAATTCGGGCCTTCAATTATATTGTACCCGACAAAACCCCTGAAAGATTTGACCAGCGATATACAACAAAATAACCATTGAACTTTAATTGCGTACTATCGTTATATATCGCTGGTCAAGTTTTAAGGAGTTTGTAACCTGGAATTCCATGGTACCGTAGATCGGGTTGCGTAAGTGGCGTGATGCATATTAATTAAAAAGGTATATGTTGATATATCCAAAGAAAATCTTATATTTAAAACGATGAGATTTATTAATGAAATATAGAGATCGATAGAAACAAGTTTCGTTCTTAGAAAAATATGGTCTTTAATTATATACTGAGTGGTCGCCCTTATAGTCGTTAGGGTGTTAAGTTGGTGGAGTACCTGTACGATACTCCAGTTGAGTAGCAAAGCAAGTGAAGATCAATAGAAAAGACCCACAATTACCCAGTGATCCAGTAAACTCCGCGACTAGAGATGCGCCATTTATATGGTACCCGAATTTTTTTCGCGTACAGTACGTACAGTACGTATAATGCGTATCTAGAGATTTGATTGGCTGGAAAAGGATCTGCAAAGTTTTCACAGTACAGTACGTAGTGTACAGTACGTATAGTATTGTACTCGGCACATCTCTATCCGTGACACTATATAGTTAAAAGCATGAAGTCTCATTTTTTTCTTGGCAGTC